ACGTATGTGTGTGAGTTTACTGGTGAGTTGATAACCCTCATTAAATTTAAGTAAATATTTAAATTATTAAAAAACAAAAACGTTCATACTTTATATGAATTTAACAGGTCATCCAATATTTTTTAAAAAAAAAGAACGGCAAAATTGCTTTCATCATGGCTAATTATTAGCGAATAAAAATGATGAATATCAAGTCTGGTTGCAAAATTTAACCTGGCAACATGAACACGAGTATTGGGATTAAAGAAGTTAATAAAAATATTTTTTTGCAGTGGGTTGGATCAATTGATTTAAATGAAAATCCCGAAGCCGATTTAAATATTGTAGTGGAACGAAATGATGAAGTTGCTCAGCAGGTGAGTAAAAGTTGATAAGTTTACAGTAAAATATTGAATATTACCAAAAGAAGAAAAAAAAATAATTGATCTATATAAATGTTACTTGCAATATTAAAAGTTTAAATTAGCTTATTAATTTACAGGAAAATAATGTCGTCCAGTCAGTGTCATCTGCTTTAAATGGATCTAAACTAGATGCTGTAATTTGTGTAGCAGGTGGTTGGGCAGGCGGAAATGCAAAGAAAGGTTCATATTTTATGTTAATTAGCCAGTTACAACAAAGCTTTAAAAGTTAAAAGAGTAGCGGGCAAAATGTTTTTTATTTTTGCATTTTATTCACTTCATTTTAAAGTACGATCAATTCAAAATTTTTATTTTATTTTTAGTTTGAAATCATAGCGATTGCAATATTTTATGTTTTTAATGGTATATTATTTGAGAATGATTACGTTTAAGACTAATCTTACATTACGCTACAACCTAATCCAGTTCCTTTATTAAATATACATATTTCATTTGTATTTAAAAATATATTCTGATTAAGGGTTTCAAAAGAATTTATGTTTCAGATCTGATTAAAAATTCTGATTTAATGTGGCGTCAAAGTGTGTGGAGTTCTCTCATATCAAGTAGCATAGCTGCTTCTCACTTAAAAGAAGGAGGTCTATTAACCTTGACTGGGGCAAAAGCTGCGTTGGAACCAACACCGGGTGGGTTCGGTTTATTTTTACATTTATTGTCTGATTTTCCTTTAATTTAGAATTATGTATATGTATAAGTTCTTATATAAATTAGTTTAATAGTTTTGAACTCCAAAGAAGTAGTAATGGTGACAGGTTGGCAGGCAAAATTATAGTATTTTTACTAATAAGCTGTTTTGAGTTGGTAATTTGGCGAAATTACATGACTTGGTTTGTGTATTTCGAATTTGTTAGTTCTGTCTTGTACATTATAGACTTCTCAACAAATTATTTGCCAAACCGAAGCTACTGTATGCTATCAAAATATCCAAGTAACCACAGAATGAAATTATGTTGTTATCTGTGGAGATTTACCACTAATATATTTCGGTATACTACGATTTGGGCAGTAAATTGACGAAATTTTCTTATAAATCACGAACTCACAAATACTACATCTCCATAGATAGCAGCATGATGGTCTTTTCAAATTACTTATTTAATTAACTAATTTAAATTAAATTTTTAGGTATGATAGGGTACGGAATGGCCAAGGCAGCTGTTCATCATCTTACTAAAAGTCTTGGTGCAGAGAAGAGTGGTCTTCCTAAAAATTCAGTGGTTGTTGCTATCCTACCGGTAACATTAGATACACCTATGAATAGAAAATGGATGCCAGAAGCAGATTTTTCTACATGGACTCCCTTGGAGGAACTTGCAGAGTAATAATTATATGTTTAATTTTATTTTATGTATTATATGTAATATTTTCTTAAGAACTCTAAAGAACTGATCTGTTTAAAATATTTTCATACGTACTAGATTTGTCGTGATTCAAGGTTGCAGTATTAAATTTTCGAGTTTATATCAAATCATAATAAATCTGCAACTATAGATTGGGTAAAATAATTTTTAAGAGAAGTAGGCATAATATTAGTAAATGAATTTCAAAATTCAAAATGACTACAGGGTGTTTATAAAACAAGTAGCAAGCTTGCAGGAGGTGATAGGGTAGGTACTATAAAACAAGACAATTAGCTGAATGTTTGGTAGTCCCAAAGTTTACTGTTTCCCGAAAAACGTATTTGAAGGTACATGCAAGAACTAGCCTCCCCCCTTCTTGTTAGGATCACGCAGGGAAACGACAATGCAACGCCGCATTCAATCGGCTGGTAATTAGCAGCACCCGTTTTGTATTTGTTGTATTGACTCATGCATTGTTTCTTACTTGTTAGATTAAATTAACTGTAATTGATGATTTTTATGTCACAACTAGCCTAGAAAAGTTCTTTGTTCTTTTAATGTTGTAAGCTCGTATGTATGTAGTCAGTTGAAGTCATTGACAGTAGGTCAGTGTGTTAGTGTCATTGGTTGGCACAGTTTTAATACATTGAATGTTGTGACGCTGTACCTTAGCCGGAGCATAGTCTGCATTTAAACCTGCTTGTTTTCTTTGTATGGAGTCATACGAAGCAGTAGGTGTATCAATAACGGTGCAGAACGCTAATGATTTACACGACCGTACGATGATCGCTGCAAATGAAGTAAACCAAATGCCGGACGTTTTTACGCTACTTAGAAATGGCTTCGAAGTCTGTCTTTTTTTAGTATGGGGTTCGAATTTCGAACAATTTTTATAGTATTTATACGTACGTATGTGTGTGTGTTTACTGGTTTACTTTAACTTTTTCTTTCTTTTATGTTATTGATACCATGTCAAGGTCTACTTTAAATAGTACTTCAACTTTCAGCAATCAACAAAGTAGTTGTTTAATAAATTTTTGTCGTAATGAGCGTCTAAACTAAGTGTAGTAGCATAGTAGTAAATTGTTGACTAATATTTATTTTATTAGTCGTTCCAGAACCATCATTGTTTACATTCTCCGTCGATGTAGTTGCTTAATTGTTATCCCAATTTCACTCTACATTGCTAATTCACATTCAGGATCGGCTTTGTATTTATTTTTTGTCCCTTAACTTCGTTGATTTTTTATTCACCATGCCGTTTCCTATTGCATTTAGTTAATATCTTCCAAAGCTTGCTATTTATTTCAGAAATACCCTGTATTTTTCAGAGTTTTGTAGATTTCCGTGGATGACTGTGTTTAGTATTGTGGGTTTAAACCCTATGTTGTCTGTTGTCGGTTCGCACGGGTTATACAGACATAGCGATCTTCTGGTATTGAGGGATAATTCAAGTTCTTTTATATCATATTGCAGACATAACACTATGCAAACCCACAATCCTAAACTAGGTAATGTGTCTATTATATTATGTCTAAAATAAATGAATTGTTTATTTCCATTACGATATAGTAATATTTTTATGTTACATGTTCAGATAAATTTGCATTTTGTTTGTCTGTCATAGGAAATTGTTTCAATGGAGTTCAGGCGAAAATCGTCCATCAAGTGGGAGTCTCGTACAAGTTTTGACAGAAAATTCCACAACCGAATTTATTCCCGTGTAAACAGCGATACAATGCTACATATAATAACTCTTAACTAATGAATATTCAATGCCAAAATCATTCCATTAAGTCTGTATTTTTTTTTGTAATGTGTGTTAATACAGTGTGAGCAAGCAGGCTTAGTTTTATTTTAATTGCAGTTATTAGATTATGTTCCTAATAAAATATAATAATCGAATCTATAAATAGTGAAAAATATTAACTATAGAAAAAAAAAATTAGTATTACGTCTTTATATAGATATTATTTATCTAAAATGACAATTTTCATTAATTTAATTTAGAAGAAAACTTTTGTTTCATAACTGGTAGTAACAGATAAATGCAACTTGGAATGATATCAAGTTTTAGGTAGTATATCTCGTCATCTGTTGATATTTGCTGCTAATTACTATTTCAAATACCAGACAAGGGTCTTACGAAGGTATGTACTTATCAAACTGTGTCTTCGGCGCAGCTTATATGTGATAAGTACTTAAAGCCAAGTGCACAGATCAAATAAATAATGAACAATAAGTTCGTGAAGGTCTCATCACTTTCGATAAATTACCAACCAAATTGAAGTTGTTACTTGCTTGCAATAATTTTTATTTTATTTTATTATTTCCTTTACAGAACTATTAACCCTTTATACATGACGATACAATTAGTCATGCTACACAATAGATTTGTGTAATACAAGACGAATACAATTTATAAAATTATTCATTAAACATTCTTACATAATTATGACTATTTACTTTAGTAAATAAGTTTATTAACAATGAGGTAAAAGCAATAAGTTCAAAAACAGTAGGTATATTTCGAAAAAGGAGCAATATTTGGTTAAGAATTTTATATCAAGTCGTATGAATAAAATAAAATTGAAATAAAGGGAAGCTCCACCGAATAAATCAAAATACTATCACAAAAGTCAAAATAAGCAAAAATGGATATTTAAGTAGCTATAAAAGCTGAGGATACTTTGATTATTGTCTAAATAGAATGAACCTAGATGATTAGAAGAACGCACGCCTAGTGGAATTAAGTGATTGGTATTATTTGATCTGAACAAAAAAATCCGTGCAAAGATTTGTAAACAAACTTATTGCCTATGACAGCACAGTCAATGATAGAAAGATTTAAATCAGCCAAGGGTGGTCTGAAATCATAATCAAACCTATCTATATGCAAGCCAGATTTGAATAAAATATGATAAACGTAGCGATGCTGAACTGATTCATAGATTTTTTTAAGTTTTGTGTGCAGGGAAATCTTTGATTATGGTAGTAAGTAAGGTTTTATACAAATACAAAAAAGTAATTAAATTATTAAATTCAAAGGTACCTACTGCGAGTTATAAATCCAAACATATTATGCGTTCGAGAGCAAATTAAGCCTAAGTGTGCATCGAAACTAAACGTTTGATCGTGTTTAACGTTAAGATCCGACATCTGAACGAGTACAGAAACTTTCAAAAGTAAAGGGCGCTAGCGTCATATTTTAACCCGGTTTTGGCACTGAGTCAACACGGGTAGGTTCAGTACCACAACTACGTCATCAATATCCTTGTTGGCCCGATGCCAATACCGAGTCAAATCGTATCACTTACGTACATCCAGTTATAAATAGTAAAATAAAAAAAAAATAGAGGTTTATTATTTGCGCCTTAAGAGTTCAACATAATTATTATTTAGATTTTGACCTTGATTTATTAAATAAAATTAAATAGAAAAGAAAACAGACATTTTCAACTAACAATTTTGAAGAAGTATCTTTATTATATCATTATATTTGTTTTACAATTAGGTCCTTTAGCTTATTTGGCACTGAGTTTACTTTGCTACTCACTGTTTAATTTGCTTGTAAAGTGTGTAGTATAATGCTTATCAATTGTAGCATGGAATCAAAGCCAGTATAGAGTGATAGGGATTTATCAACGTAGGCTTTAAAAGTTAATACTTAAGGCGAAACGTCGGTGGTCGGTTTTATAATAAGAAAACTGTTACCCTATATTGGTTTAGATTTCATACTACAATTAAATTAAATTAGGGAAGAAAATGGAAAAATACGATTATTACCTAATTATTTTCCGTTCAGTTTTTCGATAAGTTACAGTTGATGTTATTAAAGATTGATTTTGAAATTCTATCTAATTTAATCTTTCGTATTCGAATAATTCAAGAAAGTGTTTATAACGTACAAGGCTACGGTAGGAAGAGACATCACTTACTAGTGATGAGCAAAGCAAGATTAAGACCAAGACTGTCCCAGTCTAGGTATTGGTATTGGTCTTGCTCAAGTACTTCTAGTCTTGGTCTTGCTCTTGCGTTTTAAGTCTTCGTATTGCTCATTTAATCTGATACTTACGTATTTTTTATTAAACTCAAATTTTTCTATTTACCGACGCAATAATTGCCTTAAATGCTGAAATTTCCTGTCATGACTTTTAAACAAAATGATGTCGATAGTTATGAAACCTCTAGAACTTATCCTTTCTCCATTGCATAAATTTACCTTTCCTACAACGCATAAATTGATCTTTTAGCGAATAAAATAGTACAACGTACTTGAAAGAAGTAAAAAATATAGTAAAAAAATAGTTTGTCTCTACATTTCAACCATATGTTATCCAGACATAAGAACAAAGAACATTTACTCCGAGGGCATTCTTGTAGACCCCTTTCTTCGAATAGTGGTACAGTTTCTTTTTTTTATACTTGGTGTTAACATCTAGTAAAGCAAACTGAAAATTTTAAAATACTTGTTCCATGAAAAGAATATATTAATGTTGCTTCAAGTAGTTTAGAACAAACAGAATAGCTCAAAACCCCAACGCCAAAACACGACACTGTAGTTGTCCGAAGCACTTTTCGGTAACAAAGTTACCTTCTTCAGGGACTGAAGTAAACTAAACCTAAATGAGAACTAATCCTAATTTATACTGATAGTTGTTAAGGTTCAGTGAACATGACCCGAAGCCAACAAGGTAGATGTTCAATGGACCTTAACATCATCATCATAAACGTAATTAAACTAAACTAAATAGCGGAGATCCAGGGATGGGACCGTTGTCATTGTTAAGAACAATTTGTTTATTTTTATAAATGTATAAACTTT